AAACCCTACACCCTAAACCCTAAGCCCGAAAGATCCAAATCCGACTTCCAACCCCCAACTCGCCAAGGATGAGACCTCTCTCAAAAGCATGGGATGACAAGTCATTGCATCTCAAGTCATGCCCTAAACCCTAAACCCTAAACCCTAAACCCTAAACCCTAAACCCTAAACCCTAAACCCTAAACCCTAAACCCTAAACCCTAAACCCTAAACCCTAAACCCTAAACCCTAAACCCTAAACCCTAACCCAAAACCCCAAACCCCAAACCCCAAACCCTAAACCCTAAACCCTAAACCCTAAACCCTAAACCCTAAACCCTAAACCCTAAACCCTAAACCCTAAACCCTAAACCCTAACCTGAACCATGGGTGTCATGGTCTTTGCCTTCACTAGTCGGACGAGTGCCGGGCCCGGTCCAGACCAGCCTTGAGGACAGATTCACATATTCCGAGTCAAATCTTGCAATTCCATGGGATCTTTTGCAAAGCCTGACCCTAAACCCTGAACCTTGACAAAACGCCTTTCGTCGGTAGGGCTTGCTCTGGCTTCGGGCGTCTTGAGCATCGATGTCTTGGGGTCGTCGAGTACACCTCAGCCCCAAACAATCCTAAGAATGCCAAGTCTCAGAATCAACAAGCCCAACAAACCTCGGGATGCTCCCCCTAGTACTGACAGCCTGAACAGGGAATATAGTACCCCCCCCCCCCCCCTTCCTATTATAATCCCTGTGAAAGGACCCCCCTGGTACTGACAGTCCTTAATCGGGATTATAGTACCCCCTACCCCCTATTATATAATCCCTGTGAAAGGACTGTTATAGTGTAAGGGGGAACATCCCAACCGAAGCCTGTTGACGACGCGTTGAACTCAGCCCGCCGCCTTGCGCGACGCGCGAAGCACCCTTCGCAAAGCGAGGGATGCTGGCAGGTGCTACAAGATCTGGCACTGGGGTTGAGGGTATGACCAGATGAGAACCACGTTAGGGCACTTAAGGGGCTTATAAGTGGGTGTTAAGGACAGGTATAACTGTGTAATAAGTACCACGGGGCATGTTAGAGTTGGGCGGTTAGGCGCTATAGGCTAGCCGATCAAACTACGTTTCATGTAGTGCAGAGTGGAGAGAGCAGTCTCCATTGCGGTCTGTAAGACTTGACAGCCAGAGCTTGTTCGGCATCTGAACTCAGGGGATCTAGGTGTTTGCAACCATTAAACGAAAAAGGAGGGACCCCTTGAAGGGACCCTGATTCTTTTCCCCCTATGTAACCTATATATATATGTATGTATGCATGCATGTATGTATTTATGTATGCACCGTGTATAGTCCCTATATACTTAAGTAGCCCCTACATTTTCCCTCAGGTGGCTTATAAGAGGCCCTCCAATAGCCCTTGAAACCAGTACTTGGAGGTTCATGGCAGTTCATGGTACTTGTTAGCCCAAGTTTTGCTGTACTTATAACCCAATTATAACCATGTAGGCACTTGTGGGGCGTTATAAGTGGGTTGTAAGTACGGTTATAGCTGGGTTCTAAGTACCATGAACCTCCAAGTACTCGACCTACAGACGGTCATTTTGTCGAATCCGCTCATGCCGATCGCTTCTCTCCGGTGCTCCGATCTTAGCACGCTGCGGCACTTAGACTAAGCCCATTGCGATGCTCACGACTTATAAACCCTAAACCCCAAACCCCAAACCCCAAACCCTAAACCCTAAACCCTAACGCAGAAGCTGCAGTGGAAATCAGGTCGAGTGTGCTCAGAGGCACGTGAGCTGACTCCATCTGTCTCAAGCTCCCTCTGCCGCTGCAGCTTAGGGTTTAGGGTTTAAGGTTCAGGGTTTGCGGTTTAGGGAAGAACTTTGCATTGTTACTTCAATCTGCCCGATGCAGCATGCGGTAGCGGGGGTTACTGAGAAATCTGGCCAGCACCCCCCGACTAGCTACTTAACCATACTAGTAGGGTATGGAAACCCCTTTATTAAAGGGAGGTTGGGGGGTGCAGGGGCATGTCGTTACTCGACAATGCAGCTATCGCCAGAGAAGAAACTGATGGGTCTGCATAACTACAAATTAGTTTAAAGCCCCGCGCAATGAAAATATTCTTCCTAATAAGGGCAATATCGAGATCATTATTATTAACAATAAGAATATTAAATAAATAAATATATATTTTTATATCTCTCTCTCTCTCTCTTTTTTTTTCTTTGTTTGTTTTTGGTGGGGGGGGGGGGTGGAGGGGTTCTTAAGCATAACGATTTGGCAGGACACATGGGCACCATGCAGAGGAACATGTTGGCGCATGGCGCATTCCTGGCCACGCTCACTTTGAAACTCGATTTTGAGAGTTATGTTGGCATGTTTCCCCCTACTGCCATACTCACATGTTGGTATCTTTGGGACCGTGGTAACCTCTTGGGATGTTCCGCCTTTATAGCAGCAGTCCTTAGTAGTAGAGTACGCCCGATTAATCCCTATGAAGGACTGTTAGTCTAAGGGGGGAACATCCCAACAGGAAGGCTTCCTGTTTTCGCGGCTCAGGGGTTTGGAGAGTGAGGTCTGGTCGATAGGCGACAAACTCTTTGGTCCCAAGCCAGGCAGATTGAGATACGTTTCTCCTTCTCGGAACCTAACCTTCGACTAAATTTAGGGCCTCAAGTCTTAACCCAGGGCTTTTAGGGCTCGCTTGGAGGATCGGGGAAACTTTCGTTGGTGGTTCTTGAGTAGGCCCATTTAGTCATAGGGTTCCGTAGCAATTCCACATGGGGGACTGTGGCAGATCAGATTGCCGTTCCACATGAGACTTTGGGCTTTCAGGATCGAGCCACTTACCATTGGTCTGCCTTTCCAAAACTTTCCCATGAATTCACCTGTTTTTCTGTGAGTTTGTATATTGATGTGTGTGTTCCACGTGTATTGCGAGTGGTGATTGTGTGAAAGTGGATCCTGTCATAGCCATGGTTTCTCGAGTCGGGCTTCCTGCTGAAATGCTGGGCATGCTGGACCTCCACTTTGACTTCGTCTTCAACGACGAATATCTCCGTCCTAATAATCCATACAGGTTTTTGGATGCAATGGAAATGTATGCAGGAAAAGGGAGGCTCTCCAAGAGCTTGGACAAGGTCTCATGGCTGAAGGTATCATCGATTTTGCTGTGCACTGTTCGGGCTTTTCTGTGCACTGTTCGGGCTTTTCTCGATGCTCTGAATCTTGGCACATTGAAACCAGGCCGGATTTGTGGTTGTAGACTATGACCTCTGCAAAGATATTCGGGATGACCTATCGAATCGTGTGGGCCGCCTTCGCTGCTACTTGGGCTCCAAATGAAACTCCTTATAGGCTGTGGCATAGTTTGCAGACACTTGTCAAGGTGGGTGGGCTGAGATTCTCTGCCCCCGTTTGCTCGTCCTGGGTACCTGCCTGTGTTTCTCAAACGACGCTTGATGTGCAAGTTGCTTGTTTGTATTGATACCTTTTGATGGTAAAGGTGATGTTTATTTGTGTTCTTCTGCTCATCAGTGTGAACAACATAGCTCAGGAAGAGAAACATCGATGTCCGGGGCAGTTCGAGATGCCAGTCTGTTGTCAAGGGAAACGCAATGGCAGACTCTTGTCTGACATCTCGTATTGGCTTTGCATAGTTTATTTGCATTGCCAGCAGTACTCGAGTTGTTGCTGAGGAATGGGAGGCTGCATGTGCGACATTTTGCCGCCATGCTTTGATCCGGGACGTGTACGAGACACCTGCTTCAAGCTATCTGCCCCGCTACCCTTCCATGCAGGACATGTTGTTGAATGCACACAGGGTCTTGCTCCAAATATAGACGTGTCGTCGTCAGGCGGCCTTCACTCAATGTGGCCACATGAGGGTCAGTTTCAGCATGGGTTCCTTTGCAGCTCCCAGCCGGTCCCTTGGCATGAATGAAGCGAATGTCCGGGAATGATATCTTTTGTGCAATCTTGCTAACATATCATGTTAGAGGCAAGTAGTGAAATGCCAATAGTAATAGTCAACATTTCTTCGGCATCTGTTGCCAGTAGCCTTGAGGAACCTTATGCTTTAGCTGAGGCGCAGTTGTCGCCAGTAAGTATGTGCTGGGCGAGACTAGCATCGCCAGGCATCCCAGATGCCAGTAGGATTCGAGGGGCTCGTGCTGCAACCTGCAGCAAAGCCACAGGCGCAGCGGTCGCCAGTAGCCCTGCTGCATCCTGCAGCAAATCCACAGGCGAGGCAGTCGCCAGTAGCAGGCTGTGACACAGCCAGGCACATGCTGCCAGTAGTTGGACAAGAGGCATCTGGCTGCCACCAGGTTCGTTGTGTCACCGTGTTATTCTGAATGACAGTGTGTGTCTGTGTAGTTGTGTGGAGTTTGTGCTTTACATAAAAGGGGTCTGCCTCTTCATGCGAACAGAAAACACATGTTATCCCAGGAAGCCTACGAGCCTCATCGGATCCGATGCTTATCTGTTGAAATGCCTTCGCTACATGGCCTCACACCCCAGACTTCGACAGGTGTGTCTTGCTTGCAAGCATGAGATTCCACTGCTCAGGGTAAGTGTGCCGTGCTACATTGTCGAGTCCTCGCTTGCTTGCAAGCAAGGTTCCTGAATGTCGCCAATGCCACCCTCACCACAGCAGGTCAACGCTGGTGGCGAGGAAACAAAACCATGAAGGAAAGTCAAGTTTACTCATGGACTTTCAGTGATGCAGTATCTCGGACTCATGAGTCCAATGAGGCTCAGGCGAAACAGTCTTTGGTTCCATGCTCAAGTGGGCACAGTGTGCAGTGTGTGTGTGGCATCCCAGGTAGCAGGTCTCATGGCCCTTCGCAGAGATCTTGATCCTCAATTCCTCCTGGCTAACCTGCAGAGTCTCCTCGATGACTTGGTTCAACGCCTGATCCACCAGGACAGTTTGTTTGGGTAGTAGTTGCCTTGCATTCAATTCGGTTCAATTCAAGTTTGTCATTGTGTTCATTCATTGATTCATTCGTTCATTCATTTATGGAATCTCGTCTTGGTATCAGGATGCCGACCGCCGCCTTGGAGCCGATTTGGCACCTCCCGCCCGTCGCCGACGTGTCGCCCCTCCAAGTGTGGTGGCAGCTTGTATGCACATGGAGACCGGCCATGGAACCCACAATTGATCCTGATGTTTCTGAGATGGCCGATTTGTTGCCTCCCAGCACTTCTGGGATGATGATTCCAGCGGTGCCGGCACATCTTCCTGCAGCTGGGGATAACTCAGAGACAGATGAAGAGGATGGCTGGGAGTTTGTCAATGTTTCTGACACCCTTCTGCACGCAGTGCTGTTTCTTTGGCACATGCAGATTGTCTTTCTCGTTTCCATTGTGCACATGCAGCTTTGTTGCTTCTGCACACAACATCGGTGGCATTGAGGAGTAAAGGGCCATCTCGTGCAAGCAAGCTGGCTCTCGTGTTCGGACTGGTTGCTTTTGGGATGCATTTGCTTGCATGTGCGAGCAGCCAGTTCATTACTTCCTCTGTTCTGTTTCTGTGCTCACAGAAGCCAAGGTAGAGGAGAAACCATTTGATGCAATGCTATGCTTGTGCTTGGCTGTCGAATTATTCAGACCCCATGACGATGGACCATGGATGGCACCTATGCCAATTCGAGCAACAATCCTCAGCCTACCTGTGCAGCAGTGAATGAAATTCGTAATTCTGGCTTTTGGTTCTCTATTCAGAGGATCGCCGATTCCAATTCAAGTGTGTGAGGGTGCTCTGCTACTGTCCCCCGGAAGAGTGATGCATGTTGACCGGGGCAATTTGCTGAGCAGACCGAGTTGACTATCCAGTCCGGTCGCAGTCTGATTCATGAACAAGTACAATTGCCTTCCCGCAACCGAGCATTGTGGCTGAAATGGTAAGTGCCAGGGCATGTCCTGTGTGAATCGTGGTAGCTTCTCTGTCAGTGAGTGAATCAGTGAACTGACACGAATCGAACGTCAATCAATAGCTAGCTGGCAGCCTAATTAGCATCTTCTGTTGTGTGGCCAGCTGCCCTAGCTTCTAGCACCTTCGTTGCCCATGTGTGCTGCAAGACTGAAAAGGAACCTGGGGCCGCAATTGGATGGCTTGTGCAGTGACTTTTGAAAGCGCCCTATATTCCTTAAGGAGTTGTGGGTAGGAAACCCATGGCAGGTCTGTGCACGATCTGGTAGCTTCTTTCTTCTCTGTCGTTCTTTTCTCTTACCACGCAGCCCGGCCTAAGCCTCCTCTTTGACTTTTGGCTGTGCTGGGTCTGTCTCTGCCACCTTTACAGCAACCCATCAGTTGTATTGTCCCAGGACAACCTCGTCCAGATCAGTCGGGGCAGTTTCTGACGCTGCTGAGCCTCCCTCGGCTTCGGAATTCTTGCTCAACAGTGCCACTGGACTTCTCAGGCAAGCACTGAGCTCAGGCCTGATGCTTTGTTGGTAACAAGATTCCAGGGCATGTGTTGCTGCTAGATAGGCAGCATGAGATGCTGGGTCTCCGTGGCCTGCTATGGTTGTCTGTCAGCAATTGTTTTTGCATTTGTTTGGCATTGACCTGCAGGCGACTTGGACAAGAAGGACAAGAAGGACAAAACAGTGGACAAAAAAAACAAGAAAAAGAAGAAGAAAGGCATCTCATTCATCCGCTGTTGTGACATGAACTTGTTGTGCTTGTTTAACAGAACCCTTTCGGCTTCACTGCCAGACTCGTCGAACTCAGACGACAACGACGAGGATGACTCGGAGGGGCCGCCAGACGTGGAGAAACAATCCTTCTTCAAGATTCCAGCAAAGGATTTGAACCGGAGCCCGGGACAGGCCACGGTGGAGGATTTGTCGCTGAGACAATTTTGCTACTGTGTCTCTGGTGTGCTACCATGTGTGCTTCCCAGTGACCTCCTAGAAATCGGAGGCGAATGTGACCTTTGTTTGCAACTGTTCTGCTGTGAGTATGCACTTGAATGGCAGCTAAGACATTTTCAATTGCATGTGTGTGTGGGACCTTTGAAATGACAGGCTCCAAGGCATGGTGAAGCAAGGGGAGTGCTTGTCGTGCCGCTGATCGGGCATCCAAGGAAGCACTCTTGCTGGAATCGGTTGTGCTTTGCAAACGGCAGAAAGACAAGAAGACATTGGCTTCGGCAACTCAGAAGGCATCTTGGAATGAGATAGTTTTTCGGGCCATTGCTGTTTCTTGTGTTCCTCTTAGTGGCAATCGGAAGTGGTCCATCCGAGCTCATTGTCAGGCAAAGGCAGCCGGCAATTTATGGCGAAAGCGACTTGACAGGGTCGCCTTGCTGAGTCCATGGCCTGCATTTAAGAAACGTGTTCAGGCAATTTAGGATGTGTTTGCTTGCTATGTGCACCATGCCTTTTTTGTGCATTGTTGTGAGCTCAGTTTGTGGCCGAAAACCCTCCGACATCTCGATCCAATCGGCCCGCACTATGAACGATGTCCACACGCTCTTCAAGTCCCTTGCAGTAAGAGCCAGAAGGCCCTCTAGCTCTGATTTCAAGTCATGCAGCTTTTGCAAGGTTCTCTTCTCTGTTTTTCTGTATCTTGCTAGATCAATGTCATCTCTCACTCTGTCTCTTTCTCCCTTTGCATCTCTGGGTCAGTCCCTCTGTCCCTCTCTCCTTCTCTCCCGCTCTCCTCTCTCCCTTTCCCAATCTCTCCCTTTCTCCTTCTTTTCTTCTTAATCATTTTTTTCTGTCTCCCACTCTTTCTCCTCTCCATCTTCCCCCTTTCCCCTCCCACTCTCTCTCTCTCTCTCTCTCTCTCTCTCTCTCTCTCTCTCTCTCTCTCTCTCTCTCCTCTCTCTCTCTCTTCTCTCTCTCTCTCTCTCTCTCTCCTTGCCTCCCTGTCTCCTCTCTCCTTTCGTTGTGAGGGCCTCTCCCCCTTCTCCCTTTCTCACCTTTCTCCCTTTCTTTCTCCCTTTCTCCTTTTCTTTCCCTTTCTCCCTTTCTCCCTTTCTCCCTTTCTCCCTTTCTCCCTTTCTCCCTTTCTCCTTTCCCTTTCTCCCTTTCTCCCTTTCTCCCTTTCTCCCTTTCTCCCTTTCTCCCTTTCTCTCTTTCTCCCTTTCTCCCTTTCTCCCTTTCTCCCTTTCTCCCTTTCTCCCTTTCTCTCTCTCTTTATCTCGTTCTCTCTTTCTCTCTTTTTCTCTTTCTTTCTTCTTTCTTTGTCTCCTTCTCTCTGTTTCTCTTTCTCTTTTTCTTTCTTTCTTTCTTTCTCTCTTTCTGTCTTTCTTTCTTTCTCTCTTTCTCCCTTTCTCTCTTTCTCTCTTTCTCTCTTTCTCTCTTTCTCTCTTTCTCTCTTTCTCTCTTTCTCTCTTTCTCTCTTTCTCTCTTTCTCTCTTTCTCTCTTTCTCTCTTCCTCTCTTCCTCTCTTCCTCTCTTTCTCTCTTTCTCTCTTTCTCTCTTTCTCTCTTTCTCTCTTTCTCTCTTTCTCTCTTTCTCTCTTTCTCTCTTTCTCTCTTTCTCTCTTTCTCTCTTTCTCTCTTTCTCTCTTTCTCTCTTTCTCTCTTCTTTCTCTCTTTCTCTCTTCTTTCTCTCTTCTTTCTCTCT